CACACACACACACACACACACACACACATACACACTCACCTGTTTACACAGGACAGACTACACAGACACAAAGGGTCACACACACATACACTCTCCACCCTGGTTTTTCACCAACACCCTGAGACTGTGCCACACACAACCCCCACCAGTGGGAGGTGGGGAACCTGCCTCCTTAAGGCCAGGACTCCCCCTGAACCCCACATGTGCAGGCCCTGCCCCTTTCACCCCAGTCAGCCTTCCAGGCCCTGGGTTTCTGGGGCCCAGGCTGAGATAATCAAGGAAATGTGTGTGTGTGTGTGTGTGTGTGCGTGTGTGTGCGTGCGTGTGTGTGTGGTGGGGGGTGACGGGCCCTGCTGGAGTGGTACTGATGCTGCGGGGCCTCTGCCGCCAGGACCCCCTGCTCCGCATCCAGGAGGTGCTGAACAGCACGGAGGTAAACCTGCAGCACCTCACGGCCCTGGTGGACTGTCGCAGCCTGCACCTGGTGAGCTGTCGCCTTGGGTGCCGGGCCAGGGGAGGGGTCACGGGGCCTGGGGTCGGGGCCCAGGGAGGGGACAGCTGGTGGTCCAGCATGGAAGGAGCTCACGCGCCTGCCCTGTCCCCGCTGCCACAGGACTACGTGCAGGCCCTGACCGGCTTCTGCTACGATGGCGTGGAGGGCCTCATCTACCTGGCTCTGTTCTCCTTCATCACTGCCCTCATGTTCAGCTCCATCGTCTGCAGTGTCCCGCACACCTGGCAGTCCAAGAGGTGAGGCGCGGCACGCTCACCTGTTTGCCCTTGGTGGAGGGAGCGGCCTCAATCTGAAAGACCAAGGTCAGGGCACATACGACTGACCACTCTCTAGTCTCAGCCAGGCGTCCCCTCCCCAGGGCACTAGGCTTCTGTGGGGATCGAGGCCTCTAGTGGGGGACTGGGGTGGAAGACCCCTCACCCGTATCTGTGAGCTGGAGTCCTGCTGGTAGTCCCTGCTTGCCTCCGTGTCCCCAGCCAGTCCTGGACCGTGTGGCCCTAGGAGCTCTTAGTGGCTCAGAAGATGGCCCTGACCTCCACCCTCTGCTCTTGGTGTGCTGCTGGGAAGGCCAGACCCCTTACCCGGCCCGGTCCCCGGGTGTACCCATAGACCCACTCACCTTCCCTCCCACTCAGGCTGTTGCTTGATGGCCCCACTGACTGTCAGGTAACATCCCCACCATCCTTCCTCTGTCCTCTGCTCTGTTCCCCTGTGCCGTGGTGGTGGTGGCGGCGGTGTTGGTGTTGAGGGTGGTGATGGCCATGGTGAGGGGGCGGTGGTGAACGTTGTGCCGTTGGAGTGGCGCAAGTGGAGGAATAGTGTTGATGTGGAGGTGACAGTGTTGATGGGAGGTCATATTGAAGGTTGGGGTGACGGGTGGTAGGAGTGGAGGTGGCAGTGAGGATGGTGGTGGTGTTGAGAGAAGACGTGAGGGCAATCAAAGTTATGCTGGTGATCGTGACAGTAGTGAATGATGTGAGGAGGACAGGATGCGAGTTCTAACAGTGAACGGGGAGGGAGGGGCAGTAATGGTGATGATGGTGGCAGAAATGGTGGTGGTAATGGTGGTAGAAGTTATGATGATGGGGGTGGTAGTGATGGTGGTGATGCTGACAGTAGTGATGATGGTGATGGTGGTGATGTTGACAGTAGTGATGGTGGTGATGGTGGTGATGTTGACAGTAGTGATGGTGATGGTGGTGATGTTGACAGTAGTGATGGTGGTGATGGTGGTGATGCTGACAGTAGTGATGGTGGTGATGCTGACAGTAGTGATGGTGGTGATGTTGACAGTAGTGATGGTGATGATGGTGGTGATGTTGACAGTAGTGATGGTGGTGATGGTGGTGATGCTGACAGTAGTGATGGTGGTGATGTTGACAGTAGTTATGGTGGTGGTGATGTTGACAGTAGTGATGGTGATGGTGGTGATGTTGACAGTAGTGATGATGGTGGTGATGTTGACAGTAGTGATGGTGATGATGGTGGTGATGTTGACAGTAGTGATGGTGATGATGGTGGTCGTGCTGACAGTAGTGATGGTGGTGATGGTGGTCATGGTGACAGTAGTGATGGTGATGATGGTGGTCATGTTGACAGTAGTGATGGTGATGATGGTGGTCATGTTGACAGTAGTGATGGTGGTCATGCTGACAGTAGTGATGGTGATGACCATGGTCATGTTGACAGTAGTGATGGTGATGGTGGTCATGCTGACAGTA